AGATGGGAAAGAAAAAATTTCATCATCATCAACTGATTGTGATAATTATGACTGATAGTATTGTAGCAAAGTAATACAGAGGAGAGTGTATCAAAGTTAAATAAATCGAAAACAGTGTTTACAAAAAATAACAAGAGAATGAAATTCTCCTTGAAAAATCTGATAAAATTGGTCAAAAAATACATATAAGAAAGGTTTCCATCATGTACATCTCCTACAACAAAACTACCAACGGATGACGCAGTTGAGTTGCAAAATACCCAGTACCGCCACTACAACCAATTATTGCACTAAACAGCTACTCATCAAACTCAACAATTCACTTGTAAATTTCACTCGTTCTTGCCATTACCAAGATGCTCTCCATCTCTTCGTCCAACTTCACTCTTCCCATGATCTTAAACCTGATATCTACACTCTCTCCACAACCCTCACTGCGTGCGCAAATCTCCGCAAGTCCACCTTCGGTAACCAACTCCATGCCTACACTATACGTACCGGCCACAAATTATGTTCTCACGTGGCAAATTCAATCCTTTCGCTCTATAAAAACACGCAAGATTTTGTTTCAGTTAAAAGGGTCTTTAGTGAAATAGAGAACCCAGATGTTTATTCTTGGACGACGTTGTTGTCGGCTTGTACTAAGATGGGTCATGTTGGTTATGCTTGTGAACTGTTTGATAAAATGCCTAGTAGAGAATTGGCGGTTTATAATGCGATGATAAATGGGTGTGTGGAAAACGGGCATGAAGATATTGGTATTAGTTTGTTTGGAGAAATGCATAAATTGGGCATTAGGCAAGATAAATATAGTTTGGGTAGTGTGTTGAGTGTGTGTGATATAGGATTAGTTGAACTTGGGAGGCAGTTGCATTCGTTGGTGATTAAAACTGGGTTTTTGGTTACAGTTTCTGTGGTCAATGCGTTGATTACTATGTACTTTAACTGTGGAATTGTTGCGGATGCGAGTATGGTTTTTGAAGAAGCGAAAAAATTTGCGTGTGATAATATTAGTTTTAATGTGATGATGGGTGGTTTGGTGAGTTTAGGAAAAGTTGAAGAGGCTTTGATGATGTTCAGAAAGATGCTACAGGCTTCTTATAGGCCCAGTAAACTGACGTTTGTGAGTGTAATGAGTGCATGTTTTTGTGTCGGAGTAGGGAGCCAAGTGCATGCTCAAGCCATTAAGAATGGTTTTGAGGCATTAACTTCTGTGAGCAATGCAGCAATAACCATGTATTCCACCTGTGGGGATTTAGATGCAGCTCAGATGGTTTTTCAGAGCTTGGAAGAGAAAGATCTTGTCTCATGGAATACTATGATATCAAGCTATGCTCAAAGGAACCTGGGTAGAATGGCAATCTCGGCCTATCTGAAAATGGAGAGGGTAGCGGTCAAATCAGATGAGTTTACTTTTGGAAGTCTGTTGGCGAGCTCAGAGTTTGAAGAAATCGTAGAGATGATTCATGCCCTTGTATTTAGAAATGGGATCATCTCAAATATCCAAGTTTCTAACGCATTGATTTCTGCATACTCAAAGCATGAGCAAATAAAGCATGCCTATCAAATATTTCATGACATGTCTTATAGAAATTTGGTAACCTGGAATACTATCATTTCTGGGTTCCTGTTAAATTCTTTTCCAGTGCAAGGGTTAGAGCAATTTTGCAAATTACTGATGTCAGATGCAAGGCCAGATGTGTATACCCTCACCATTGTTTTGAGTATTTGTGCTAGCCTTTCATCCTTAAGACATGGAAAACAGGTTCACGGTTACATCTTGAGATACAATCTTTTCTCAAAGACCTCTTTAGGTAATGCTCTGATTTCAATGTATACAAAATGTGGGAATCTGAATTGTTCTGTGAGAGTGTTTAATGAGATGATTGAAAAGGATACTGTCTCTTGGAATGCCCTAATCTCTGCATATGCACAGCATGGAGAAGGAAAGGAAGCTATCAGTTGTTTTGAGGCAATGCAAGATGCAGTTGGCCTTATACCTGACCATGCCACCTTTACTGCTGTTCTTTCTGCTTGCAGCCATGCAGGTTTAGTTGATGATGGCACTAGGATATTCAACTGCATGGTGAACTACTATGGCTTTGTTCCTGCAGAAGATCATCTATCTTGTATGCTTGACCTTCTTGGAAGAGCAGGGTATCTTGATGAGGCTGAGAGACTAATAAATAAGGATATTCAAGTGCCTTCTAGTGTCTGGTGGGCATTATTCAGTGCTTGTGCAGCTCACGGTAATTTAAGACTGGGAAGAATCATTGCTGGCTTTCTCCTTGAAAATGAACAAAATAATCCATCACTTTACGTACTTTTAGCAAATATATATGCAGCTTCAGGTTTATGGGAAGAAGCTGCGAATATAAGGGAACTGTCAAAGAGAACAGGGGTGATGAAGCAACCTGGTTGCAGCTGGATTGGGTCATAAAACCATGCAAGCTCGAATCCTGATATACTGAAAGTTAAAGATGCAAGTATCAGACTGACAATAAACATAGTCCAACATGAAATGGGAACTGAGAATTCAACAAATGACGTGTTGTATGCTTCCCTAGCTCTGGAATGGTAAAGCCTAATGGATTGATGCACAAGCCGAAGTTATCGTTGAGAACATATTGTGGGGATTTAAATCCATTCTAAAGACAGCTTGAGAAGAATGTTGTAGTCATTTAGGAGCACTAGTTATTTGGCATATTTGAGAGAGCCACCAAGATAAATAACTACTTGCAAATGTCAACCATTTTGAACAGAGCTAAGTAGTGAAATCCTTGATAAGGTTTTTTCCTGACCGTGTCAGGTCATGAGAAAGAAGTAAGCAGTTCTCTATGACTCTATCCCTACCACTTTCATAAAGATATAGGTGATGTTGAACAGTTGGTTTATATGAGGAAGGTTTCGTGTATCAAAATTCGTGGATTTAGTATACTGTAAAAAAAAAATATATAGAATGAAAGTCCACTTCCCAAAGTCATTATTACATTAAGTGTACTAATAGTGGCTGCCCTTATAATCCATCAATGCAGATTGCACAATGAACTCCAGGTGCGGATCATGGTTCACGTCATGTCAGTTGATCGCATCTTCATCATTATCATCTTCTACTACACAAGCAATACACTGAACCACGACATCAGAGTAGTTGCATGACTACCAAAACAAACTAGCAGTTACATGACCACTAAACCACCAAGCACGATTGGGCCCAGGCCAGTGATTATCTATCTGATTCTATAATTCTTCTATTTTTATACAATCTGTTGACCCACCAGCCAGCTTATCTACTTTTTTCTCTGAAATGGCATGGAGGCCAATAAGTTGGTGCCAGATAAGAGCTCTCTGTGATTAATTTTGGCGGTCATTTTTGTATACAGGAGTTGGGTATGAGATTTTATTGGATAGTTACTTTGTTTGCACCGGCAAATGACTTGTTTCTTCGTTATTCTTCTTTATAGGCAATCTGAATTGAGTCACATGTTATGTTTACGCAAGGAAACCATAGAAAAGCATTTAACAATCCAGGCACATTTCAAGATAGGGGTGTGGTCATCTCTTGGATTTTACCACAGAGTAGACACTATCCCCAGCGACAGCACAATCACTGATGAACTAGAAGCATTTAGGATATTTCATTGCTACATCTAGCAAAAATAATGATTGAATTCGCATTACACTTGTAAGATTTGAAAAGGTATTCTCGTGGACAGAACAGACTCCTTGAAAAATATAAATTCAATATAAAAGTTGTTCACCATCAAAAAGTCTGGGAGGCGTTCTAAACACCTGTTCTTAAGAATATCATCTAATATCATACAATTACAGAATTGTTTCTAGCCAAATAAATCCAATGTCTTTCTTTAGTGGAACAGTTTGCATAGATTACTGCCATCTAATATTTGATATATCAATCAACAGGAGGAGCTCTGTAAACAGCTGGAACAGTGGCAGGGAAAAACATTTGCCTCACTCCTTCTGCCTTGATTATGGGGAAAATAATACTTGATGCACCCTGTAAAAGGAAAAATTGTTGTAAGAATTGAAAAATCCCAAATGCGATAACCCATACTTGCTTTAATCATCAATTATAAAAGATGGAAATGCATACCGAAATTAATCTAGCTCCAATCCAAATGCGCTCAGGCGAAGGAAATGGTGCTAGCAAGCGACCAACACCAAAAATTGCCACAGCAAAGAAGTGGAGAACTAAACTCAAAGGGCGAGGGTTTAGACCAGAAAGCAAAGCCACTGGTCCATTCGAAAAAACACCTCCAAGGCTTAAATAGTCAAAACATGCTTGGCGCATTTCCTTCCTTGCTTGGTCAGGGGAAGAAGAAAAAACCTTGTACAGGGCACCTGCCAGAGTATTTATTGTTGAAGCCACGGGCTGCAAGGAAAAAACAAACTGTAAGCCTAAAACAGGTACATTCCCATTTTTCTACAGCTGTAATGATAAAAATGAATAAATAAAAGTAGTATACTAATTAAGCTTACTTTACGTAAGGTGTAAAAGGATTCAAGATATCTGCTCAGGGCAGCTGCATCACGAAAGTCTTGCAAGGGCTTAAGAAGATTCCGAAGCACAACAATATCAGATAATGCCACAGTCATTCCACCACCTGTTAAAGGATGACGCATGTTGAAAGCATCACCCATTAGAAGAGCTCCAGGAGTAGGCTGAGGATCAGCTGGCATGCTTCTATTTGGCATAGTTCTAATACTGCCTTTGTCAACTGCGTTAACAAAGGCATCACGAATCTCAGGAGGAACCTGAAACAGCCACTCTCCAATTAAATCAAGGCAAAACAAAGTGTAAAACAAGGACAGAATATAAAACTAATCCCAACACGAAAAGGTCAATCCTTGTATCTTTAATAATCCTAAAACATGTACTTCAATCACAGATACCTGTGGTGCTACCATGGTCTTCAAATATTTGGCCATTTCACCATTACCAATGGAAGGCAATTTTTGACCTGGTACATCAACCAAGCATCGAATCTCTGTACTACTGATTGGATAAAATAATATGGGGGAAGGATCTGCTAGAATGACATGCCCATGGTTTTCGAAAGGAAGTTGACAGTTCTCTAACACTAGACCCACAAAACAAGAGGGCACATCAACCTGTCAAATAGTTAAACTGATACAATTAGCTTCTCAGTACAAAAGAATAAAGCAAGAGAAGAACATGACACAGTGAAGAGTAAACTTATTATCAAGACAGACAATAAATTTTCTAGCGTCCTGAATTAACAGATACTCTCACTAAAACTATCTTGAATACTGTGACTAATTTACATATGATACAAGAGAACTTAAAGGTTATAAGATGCAACTTCACCTTTGGTTTGCAAAGAGAACGACGCAGATTTGAGAAGCAACCGTCACACACAATTGTAAGAGGAGCATATGCTCTAAGTTCTTGACTATTCTTAGTTTTGTACTGAACCCCTTTTATTGTGCCATTTTCTTCAAGCAGGGATGTCACTGTTCCTTGCTCTAGTCGTACGCTAATTTGAATTGAACAAAAAATGATGCAAGGAGATTAATAACCATCAACTTTGATGCAACACTTAAATAGTGAAGTGCATGAAATATAGAAAATTCATGCTGAACTAAACCCTAAGTATCAAGGAACCAAAAAGCAACAAGTTAAATAATGCAATCAGTCAAGCCAAAGAGATAGGGGAAGATACTTGGGAAGAGTAGCAGCTTTTTCTCTCATCCTCTGGATAAAACGCCCATTGTGGAAGCTCCTCCCAGCAACATCAGCATGAAACTTTTCCAATGGATATGACAATTTGGCACTTTTCCCATCCTTGAAGAGAGCATATCCCAGCACTCTCTGGGCATCAATTTCTTCTACACAATCTGTAGTTAAAAAACACAATATATTTACAGTTGGAGAAAATATAAGATAACTACGTGCAAAAAGTAGTCATAAAGAGAACTAGTCCTTAACCACACAGAGTGTTGTTTACAACAACAACAATTGAAAGTCTTGAAGATTTCATCTCTCTGAAATGCAAAGTAAAAGATATAGATTGCAGCTCTGGCGCATACCTTCAAGGCCTAATTCAATTAGTTTCAGGTATCCCCCAGGCTGAAGCAATTCACCAACAATTCTGTCAGGCTCTGTCAAATCTCTTTCTATAACATGAACCCGTTTTCCATCCTGCAGTTAGTTAAAGTCAAGACTTCAGAATAAGACTTTGCAGAAAACAAGTGAATAACAACAGACATATTTCTGGAGTTCAAAGTGTCTCTTCAACATTTTGTAACTCTTAAATTAGGATTTCTCTGTATCCATTTAGGAGTAGTGATATGTACCTTATAATATACAAATCTCTTTGTAGTTAAACTTAAGAGTAATAAATTTACATGGACAAAGTACATCAATTAAAATTAGATTGAATGTAAATCACATATGTAAAACTTATTGAAGCAAGCAATAACAGTAAGTGTACATCTTAAACTTTCTGGGGGAAGTCAATTGCCTTTATACTATTCACCCCTTAGAATTTCTTCACTATGCTAGCAATCAAACCATGAAACCAAAGAATCAGAAATGACCAACAAAAGTCAGCATGTTCATCTTTGAAGTTCTTGTTTAAGCTTTACAACCAAAAACCAATTTTGTTCGTGTCATCAGATTCTATTCATCATCAGAAAATTCTATAAAGTGACTCTAATCTCTAGTAACAACCAAGTAACCTTTAAGCCCACTTCAGCCAATCCAAACACCTTTACATGGCAATTGCTTTATCAAACTCTTAACACAATCACCAACCAAAAGAGAAAAAAATTTCACTAATAAAAAAATAACCCACACCAAAAATGTGAACCAAATCCTGGTGTAGCTTACGTAGACAAAAATATGTAGATAAATGAAGTATGAAATTCATCAAATAGTTGGTACTAAAAACAATAAAACGAAGAAACTTCCAAATACCCTATAGAGCTTGGTAAATTCAATATTTAGAGCAACGGGAAATTAAAAATAAACAAATATAATAACAATAATGTAAAAGAAATTACCTTGCCGAGGGTATGAGCCAAGGCTGCGCCAGCAACGCCTGCACCGACAATGATGACGTCAGTGCCGTCCGGCGAGGAGTAATCTCCGTTGCCGACAGCGCTATGAACAATGTCGTTCCCGATCTTGTACGTTCCGGCATCCTTTTTCGTCGTCTTCTTACCGTTACGGCGCAAAAGAAAGAGAAGAAGAAACCCAGCGAGAGAAGCAAAGAAAGTGGCAATAATGTACTGATCAACAGCCACCATCTCCTTCTTCTTCTTCAAAATACCAAAACAATGAGACCAAGAAGTCGAAGCAAGAAAAATCGACGGCTGCTGTGGATTGACAGTCAGTCTATGGAGGTCTCTAGAAGAAATGCAGGTGGAAGTATTGTGTGTAGAAGATGTAGCGTTGGGTTTTTTTTGTGGTGTGGACAAATTGATGAGCGATCTTGTAGGAGAAATAGGCTTTTTATAGAGAGTAGTTGTGATGGTAAAAAACATGGCAGTTGAATTAAAATAAATTTAAAGACTCGGGCTTGACTCGACTCGACTCAACTCAACTCAACTCATCTCAACTCATTTCAAAGTTATTAACTTACTGGATTTCTGGTTTTTCTTTTGATTTGAATTGAATTATAAAAGAATCTGTTACGGAACAAAACAACGTTAAAAAGAAAGTAAGGTTACTTGTGACTTGTCTTGCCCACACATTAAGGAAAAGGACAAAACCAAATTACTTAAAACAACAGCGTTTGATCAGAAACGTTGTCATAATTGGGGGTAAAATAGTCATTTGTTACGTAATGTAAAGTACACAATGTTTTGGCGGGTTACATAATTTTTTACTCAAATTTTATTTTTATTATTATGATGATAGTCTAGTCTTGGCATCATAATTAGCATGAGAAAATTTTCATATTACACGCAAGTTAAGCAATTATATAATAATAGGTCTTGTGTTTGATGTTAAATTCTTTTATGTTGTCATTATGGTGTTAAATTTTTAAAATGCGGTAATTATTATAACCATATAATATGAGTTTAATTATTAAAACGCGTTGAATTACTAAAAATATTTTAATGACGTTATAGGCAATATAATTGCAATTAAAGATTAATAATAAAAAAAAATAGGCTGAAAGTCAATCTATAAATGATTTTTGTTAGTTGAAAATAATCAAATTTCTGGTGTCACCTATTACTACAAGGGTATTTATGAAAATTGAAAGACAATTACATTTTCATATTATTTAAAGCAAACCTATCTATATTGTACATCAGCTTCATGTCATTTAATATCATTAAAACGAATACCAGTAAGCTGTAACCTACTTGCTTTTATTGTTTTTTATGAAGAATTATTATCAATATGATGAAAAGCTAGCGTATTGCACCGGGTATATTTATTATATTTATTATATTATTATTAG